AAAAACATTTTTAGTTTCACTGCTTCGAAAGAAAACTAACATGTTGCAACATTCGAAGACTCAGAAAACAAAGAGCACCCTATTTAAACTCTTTTGCTGACATAGTTTCTTCAACCCGAACACCAATGATTGGGCTGAATGAGAACGGCATTAAGCTGCCCTCTGTGCCCCCCGCAGAGTTGTTTCCACCGCTGTCGTGCGCTGTCTCCATTCTCCACCCCCAGTGAATCTGTCTGTGCCTGTTCCACCTCCTGCTCCATAAGCAGCAACCACAACACCTGCATCTCAGTTAGAGTCAATTCAACCTGTATCAGCCCCTACGCCTGCCTTGGAGAAGCTCATAGTCTAGCCAAGAATGGACCCCAAGATCCCAGCTGTGACCGGAAGGGAAACCGGCCCATGTGTCCATGGTGGGGGTTTCTGACTTGAGCTAGACTGTCAGCCACTCTGAGTCTCAGAGCAGCTCCTATGTCCCGGATCCCTGAAACGACCCAGTTCATCACAGCACTGACACCCCCGAACTACCGCAGGAAGCAATTTTAGCTAATCAAGACGCTCATCAGCTCTCTCCAGACTGGGCCACAACTTTTCCAGACAGCACACACAGGCCGGGAGAGGCTCGGCGGCAGACAAGCAGATGCTATTTCCACTTTTGTTCTCATTAAACAGTAGCATAATCATGATTTATAAAAATATTCAAATCTTGAAAAGCATGTCAAAGTGCAACCTCGTCAACTGAACTCAAAAAAGCTACTCACTCCATGTGCGTGACTTGAAATCTGATTTTTTTTTTTTTTTTTTTAGAATAGCCGCAAGGAGATGTGGAGTTGGGGAAAGTAATCAGGTTTTAAAACTCTTTTCTAGGAAATAATTAATTATGTTTCCAAACTCAAAATAGATGGGCTTTTTTTATAAACCTAGAAATGAACTTCCAAAACTGCATTTTAAATCAAAGATGTGTGAAGAGCAGCTTCAGAGTCACAGTTGATTGGCCATCACACAAAAATCATGTCCCTGTTATCAGAGTCTTGTCAGTTTCTCTACCTTTCTGGCCCAGTGGGAGGTGGGTGATGGTCAGGGGGTCTCTAAAACCACAAACCAGGACCTAACAAATGATACCAGGTGGTTTGTCAATTCATAAGGTTTAAACCATAGCAAGCAGATACCCAAATAACTGGAAGTTATACTAATAAAACTTTCCCCATGGCTCCCTTCACTTATCGTTTCTTTCTCCCACCTGCACTATTGAAGAGACCCCCTCAGTCGTTTCAGACATCTGAAGTCCGCTACTCACGTCGAGGCCCAGCTCCAGTTTCTCCCTCTTCCATGAAGCCCTCCTGCTTGCTGCCTTCTGCACACTGTCTGATATGACTGCTCCACCCTGTGTTCCTTCCTTGGCTAACACTGTCTAAATAGCTTGCTCCTCCCACTCAGACCATACTGGGAAGAGTCTGACCTTTCGGGCAGAGGTGATCGCATGCACTGTTCCCTCGCTGGGGGACAGCACAGGGCCTGCTGGACAGCTGGCACCAATACGTATCTGGGAGTTTAAGTAGAGTCCCCATATAAGTTAATTATTCTTCCCATGTTAAACCCAAAGCAAATGTTCTTAAATGAACCATTAAGCCTTCTATCCTAGGAAATGCAAACACCCCCATTCATCTGTTTCCACCCTTTTCAACCAGTGGACAAGGAAGGGGTCTATTTCTAGATGAAGGTTCTGGAATCCTAAGCAGCCCATGGAGAAAAGATATGCCATAAACACAATGAAACTGTTGAGCTATTTCCCTCACCCTCCATTGTTTCCTGAGTCCACGCAGGGGTCTGGGAGATTCTGGATCTCTAAGTGCTGCCCCTTGACTCCCTCTCCCCGTAAGATTTACTCCCTGGGAGGTTGGTGGGCGGTAGGCACAGACGAGGTGCTACCTCCACTTTCCCAAAGGTTGAAGGTCTGTTTCTCCTCATCCCGGGTTCTGACTGGCTCCCTTTTCTCCCTAGTATCCCTGCCCGGCTCCGGGAAGTTAAGATTGGTGAAAGCAGGAAGGGATTCTGACTTCTCCATCAGTTACCCCAGAGCCAGGGCACCTCACCAAAGCATCCCAAATCCAGCCACTGCTTGGGCCTGTAGTTCTGGAGCAAGAAAATAAATATCTATCTAGGCATTCCTAACGTACACCCAAAAAGGGCACACATTTTCAGGGGAATGGTCACCGAACAGCCTCCATCTGCCCATTTCCTGTGAGTGGTGGCAATCAGCCCCTTGATCTCCTCTCCAAACACCCCAAGGAAGAGAGACGTGGTGGGAACTCTAAACTGGTCTGTGGGAAAACCCCAGCACCCTGGTCGGAAGTGAATCCTGAACAGCCAGAAATCAAACAGAGGGTGGGAACCCAGGTACAGCTTCAAAGAATATGCCAAAGAAATAAAAAAATAATAAAGCCTTGCAAAATCACTTCCTCAGACAGCCGGAACGGAGGAGACTTTGTAGAGCAAGAGGGAAAATGGCTTTGGGGGAATGTGGAGGATCTTCTCCTATGCCAAGCACAATTCTTCTGACTACTAAGTGGAACATGCCTGGTGGCAGGGACCTCTGTCAGCATCCAGCCCGTTCTGATTTTCAGGATAATTTCTCTCTGAGAGATCGGCATGCCCTGCCACTTTGAGGCATAGAAAAGGACAAGATCTCCTGGAGTTTGGGGAGGCATCGAGCAGCCTCACCCAGGTTCTGCTGTGGGTCTTCTAGAGTCATGCTGCTTATAATACTGTGGCTACTGGCCCATGGGTCTATTTTGATTGAAATTAACGTAACTTGAATAGAATTAAAAATCCTGTTCCCCGGTAGCAGGAACCACATTTGAGGTGCTCAACAGTACTAGACAACATCATGTAGAATAGCTCCATGACTGCAGAAAGTTCTGGACTGTGGGCAGTACCATTCTAGAAAGTCCCTGAGTGGTGTGGTTAGGTATTGACGTAGGTGCTAGAGCAAGGCTAAATTCTCCTTCTGGTTGGCTTGCTCTCTCCTTCCTCTCAATGCTTTCTGACTCCAGCTGGGGGGGGCTTCTCTCCACCTGGAAGCCTGCAGCTCCCTGCCTGGCTGGGTGTGGGCTTTGATTTGCCACATTCATGGGGATGTCAAGGCACCTTGTTGGCATGCTAGCACCAGCCCATTTGACATTGGGGCCAAGGAAGTAGTATACATGGGGATTTCAGAGAAGGGAGACTGACTGCCCAAGTCCCAGACCTCCTGATGGTCAGGGAAATCCTGGCCTGCTTTCCAAGGGATCACTTTTGTGTTCAAACACACACACACACACACACACACACACAAAATGATCATGGAAGGATCTGAGTTTGAGAGCTCCCAGAATCTGGCTTTCCCTGCCAGTATATAAGATCCTAGGATTCTGGCTTAAAATCCAGAGTCAACCATTCCTGTAGTCCTTAGACCAATTTTTGTCCCCCTGGACATTCTTGACTCAGTGCTAACCTATACAGACTTGGCTTCAGTGCAGGACTCAGCCCCTGGCCCTCACTCCCGACCACAGTCATGCTCCCAGCTTCATGCCCTCCTCGAGTCACACACACAAGCGCCCACATCAGGCCAGCCTTCTCTCTCCCCTTCTCTCTCGATCTATATTGCTTTAGGATCCAGTGGAAGATGCTCGAGGGTTAAACCTTCCTGGACTCCTCCAGCTATTTGTTCCCTTTCTCTGAGACCCCTATAGTACCTTCCGCCTGGCCCTCTCTCTCCAGGCAGAGCTGAGTTCTATTTCTACCACCTAAGCTCACCCTGGTGGACTCATCCCACTGTCCCCCAACCCCCCCAGGCCTATTTAGCTGAAATGTTTTCTGGGGTGGTGATGTGGGGGGCACGTGCACAAGTACATGGCCTGGGGTGCTGAGCACCACTCTACTCCAGGAAACTGTGGGCTCCCCGTGTGATCCTGTGATTCAGGAATTCTGAACCAAGTGAGGAAAGGAGGAATGGGAGGGATGAGGAAGGAGAGAGAACCAAACGGCTGGCAGCCGCTGGAGAGGCAAAGCCATGGAGAGGGTGATGAAAAGGACAAAAGAGTGATTTACTTTAATCCTACTTTCAATAAACTGCAGTTGCCAAGAAAGAAACCAACTGGCCCAAAATATGTGAGGAAGGAAGGGAGTCAGGAATTTTGTACCAAGAGAAACAGCACAGCTGGGTAGAGGTGGCTATGATTGGACATTAAGTTATTCTAAAAGGGCTCAGAGTTTTGTTTTGTTTTGTTTTGTTTCCTATTCCGTGAGACATTCATGATTCTTATATGGCAGCAAAACAAATATAACCATGACTTATGTTTCCCAATTTACAGAGCTGATTTCATGTGCTTTCGACAGGAATATGATATTTCTGACAATCACAATTCTTCTTGACGCTGGAGTGTTTGGAGGGCAAAAGTCCCATATGCCACACTCCCTGATTTGTTTTTAGGGCCTTCCAGGTATGTGAGAAACTCGCATAGAAATGCAAATTGATGACATCTAACGATGCAGAAGTCTGAGCCCCTGTGTCTATGCATGCTGTAAATAACGTTCCTCCCAGCACTGCTGTGGCAGTCATCAGAAGAATGGGGGGGATGCCGGGAAATTCACAAAGCTGAGAGATCTCCTCCCTTGTTGTCCTCCCTGGACTCCACAGAAGAGCTCTGGCCACTCCTGCTGGGCTCAAGGCCACTGATGCCCTGCTTCCTGGCCAGGGCCCCGCTGAATGGGGGAGGTGCTATTGCTGCAAACTGGGGGTCTCTGGGGGGCAGGTCCTTGTCCTCCAGATGGCCACAAGGTGGGGCAGGGGAGGAGAGAGGAGCCAAGGCCAGTGCTCTTCCTGCAGACCCCTGTCTAAATGTAAGGAGTGTTGGAAAGAATTGAGCAAAACAGGTCATTTCAATAGGCTGGCACTATTCTAGTTCTTAGGTTCAGAGGTAGGGTCATGTGTGCTCATTTTATTGTCAAGATATAAAACTTACCTAAATGTTGCATGCATTGTTTTGAATAGGTCACATGACGCCAACAATTGCGATGTGGTACCCGAGGATGTTTGATGTTTTGGAATGCAGAATCAAATTTCTAGGGTCAGTCTGGCTCCAGGAACCACGGCTCTCAGACCGTCTTGGCAGGTAAGCCAGAGGCCTCTCTGGCACTGAGACAGGAGAGTGCCCGCCCAGGCAGCGTGAAGCACCGGATGGCCAGGTAGAAAGCTAACTCGCCTGGGGTCGTGCTGCAGGTGACGGGCTGCCGGCGAGGAGTGGGGCCAGCCGATACAGCAGCAGCTCCAGATCTGGTCTCTAAGTAAAAACAAGCGGTGGGGGAAGAACAGCTGGTGTTGAGTCTGGTGCTAGGATTAGTCTGCAACGCTAATCACAAGAAGTGGAAAAAATTAGGAGGTCCTGCCTGCCAAGGAGGTTTTCAAACACATGCGTGTGCTGCAGTCACAGTAGTATTAGATTCTCCCAGCGCCAGCGAGCAGGCGCCCACTGCCGTGAGCCAGAACCCCTTCCTGGGCATCGCACCCAGAGCCCCGGCTCTGACAAGATGCCAGAAGGGCCAAGTGCCCTCGCTGGGGCGTGACATGGAGGGGATACTGTGTCCTGCAGGCCAGCCCTCCAAAGCTCCTCTGTGATGTCCTGGAGAGAAGCTGGGACCAATGGGCAGGGAGAAGGAGAAGGTCCCCAATCCCAGCGCACACAGCAGAGTCGAACGTTACACCTGTTGCCACCCTGGGCAGAAAATAACGAGAAGATAACCGAACTGACTGAAGTGAGATGATGTGCAGGACCTACCCCCAAAACCAGCAGCAAGCCCAGACATCAGAAGACATGACCTTCTAACACCTCTGCAGCAACATTATTGTGTGCCCTGGACCACGTGGCGCAATGATCCAGACCCAATCCACCAACAAGCGTAGTGTGGAGGTGACTGGGGGTGCCCTGTGACCTTGCCACTTCCTCTGCTGCCCACAGGCTCCTTACCACCTTCTAGAATTGCCACCACAGGGATGCTCCTGGCAGCCCCTGATGCCTGGGTAGAGTTTCCTTTAAAAATGGGTTTCCTTTCCAACAGAGAAGCGGAGGCAGCACTTGGGTACTGGGGCTGGGCGTGAGTAGGAAGGAGAGATTAGCCCGACAAGATGAAAAGAGGACTTCAGTGCTGCAGACTGAATCGTGTCCCTCCCAAATTCCCATGTTAAAGCCCTCACGCGCCATGTGACTCTACTTGGACATCGTCTTTATGGGAGTATTAAGGTTTAATGAGGTCGTAAGGGTGGGGCCCTGATCTGACAGGATTAGTCCTTTTATACAAAGAGAAACCAGAGAAAGCTCTCCCTCTCTCCCCTTCCTCCTTCTCTCCCTCATACTCTGCCATGCGAGGACACAGCAATAGGGCCATCCACGGGCCAATGAGAGAGCGCTCACCCGAACCTGCCGACACTGGCACTCTGGTCTTGGACTTGCAGCCTCCAGAACTGCAAGAAACCAAGTTTCTGTTGTGTAAGCACCTGGTTTGTGGTATTTTGTTATGGCAGCCTGACCGGACTAGAATAAAATGGACTTCGTAGAAAGCAAGGCCCATATGAGATGCGGGACAGACACCTGATGCTCATAGGGTGTGAAAAGAAGACAGGGGGACCAAAAAGCAGGTGACGGGTCACCAGAATCTATCCTGGATGAGATAGGAGCTGAGGGAGTCTTTAGTGGTCCTTGGGTTCAGAGTCACGATGACGGGTCACTCATGCCATTGCCACTCTAGGATGAGAGGTCACTCCACCATCAGCAGCCTAGGATGAGGGGTCACTCACTCCATCGCCAGGCCATGATGAGAGGTCACTCATGCCATTGGTAGGCCCTCAGGCTGAAACAAACCCTGTTCTCAGAACTCTCCAGAGAAGACTCAGCAGCCTGCACGAAGGTCCCTCCAGTCCTCTATCTTGGAAGCATGCCCCGTGGATATTCATGACAAAGCACGTGTCTTTACAGCAGCCTGGAGTAGTTTCGTTTCAGTTTGGACGGCATGGAAATGAAAAAGATGCTTGGGCCTGTGGTGTGCTTGTTCCCAAGGAACTTTCCGTTAAGGTCATGGGAAAGCCTTTCTGTGGAGGAGCTGCTGGTATAGATGTTCCTCAATGTCCTTCCCTGCCTCTCCTAGCTCCCCCAAACACTCATTTTGGTGTTGCTATTTGCTTCTACAAAATGTGGAGCTTTTCAAAAGACATTCAATTTCCTTTGTTGCTATTCAGTTGCCATAGTCAATTAAAATCTATCAATGCCCCTGAATAAATTTGTGCTAGGTGAAGAAAGAGCCTCAGTGCAATCTCTCGACATGATCTCTATTACCTTATGTTGCTTTAATAGCTAGAGTAATAGTTTGTTATTAATGGAATTAAGCAATTCAGTTCAAGCTTCCCAGAGGTCTTATAAGACAACTATTATAATTTATATTCTCAGATTTTCCATTGAGTAGATGCCATGTGTTTTACATTACTTGCTAATGTTTCGAGAGATAGCAGTAGTATATTTAATATCTGGCTTTGTTTAATGATTCCAAGCCACTTTCAATGGAGGTAAAGTGCTGTTGGAATTTTGAGCAGTTTAAAAGTCTACATTGTACAAATAATTATCTCAAATATTATTCAGCCCAATTTCAATTTGTAGTTTTATTTTGTCATCCATCCATCCAAGATTTTTATCCAAATGTGTTTTCCACTTTTCCCACCGAACACAGTCTCCTGCCCAGAAAACAGGCTTCAGGTGACCACAGAGAGAGGCATACACATGTGTGCAAACACACACACACACACACACACACACACCACTCTCACCCATTTAGCATATTTGAATGGAGTCATATTTAATCAAAGATTTAAAAAACTTTTTTTGATGGTTGCAAAAACCTGTTTTTAGAAGAAATAAATGTATGCACTGCATTCTGAAACAGCTTGAGAAAACAAGATCTTACAATGTACACCATCTCTGTATTTAAATAGTTTCATTTCTATTCATGAGCTCCCTGATTAGATACATGGAAAATATCATCAGTAAAATATGAATAATTCTGACAAATTAATAGCAGATTTTTTTTTAAAGAATGAAAATATGTGTAAGCATTGCGTGCTCATTAGGCAAAGCTGCTGTCAGGGATGCCTGAAAATTGCAGCCCGGCTGGCCTCGGCACAAATCCCTCCTAAACTCCAAGCAGCGAAAGGAAGGACCCTCGGCAGGGGGCCTCCGGGGACTTGTGTGAAAGGTAGGAGCAGGTTGGGGCAAATGCCAGTGGGCCAAGCACGTGCGGGGCTCTACGTCCTGTCATTCCTGTGAGGCGGGCGGGGCAGAGATGACCCAGCCGTGAGATCTTAGAGCAGGCAAGGACCCCAGAAACCATTTCTTCCAACCGCCAGTGACAGCTTGGGCTACTCCTGTTGTTGGTGACAGGGGAGAGGTTGCACAACCTTAACACAGACAGGCAGCACTTGAATTCTGGCTTTTGGTCTCAGAGTCCAATGCTTTTTCCACGGGCTGCATGGAAATTCAGCCATAACCATGGCTGGGCAGTGGGCAACCGTGGCAAATGAGACACAGCCCCATCTTTGAGGAGCCCGGAGTGGGACAGGAGGGGACAGTGATCACAGCTAATAGGATAGGAAATGGCGGTGGCAAGCACTGAGCAGGAGGCACTGGCCATAGATGAGAAAGACAGGCCCACATCTCGGCTCTCTTCCTCCTCACCCTGTAGACTTGAGCATGTCACCTAACATTTTTTGAGCCTCAACAGACTTACTTGTAAAAACGGCAGTAACAATTCCTACTCAGTAGCATGACCCCGAGGCGCTCCAAAGTCGTTCTAGTTATGGTTCTGGTCTCACTACAGAGAGCCCACCCACACCAGCTCATGTTAAAGGGAGGTGCTGTGTGCCAATGGTGAGGCTTCGGGGAGCCAGCAGATGGGCAGGAACAAGAGCTTCGGGGACGAGCCATGAGCAACAAGGCCTCTTGCCCACGGTTCACCTTCTCCCTCATCTCCCATCTCCTCTCCTCCTAATCACAGAGCCCCAGAATAGTTGCTGTCTTGCGTCTGTGTTGCCATTTGGCTAAAGTGCACGGCCCCACACGGAGCTGTCTCTGGTTCCCTTCATTCCCATTCCAGAAGACAGAGATCCGACCGGTCTAGCTGATTCTTTAACGTCAGGAGCAATCAGTCCCCCATTGCTGGCCAGCCAGGGGAAGGCCACCCTTGCACTCAGGAATCTGCTCCTAGTCCAGCAAATGAGGCTGAAGGCAGGGATGCTGCATGACCTGCTGTCAGCAGCAGGGCTTGTGGGTGGGTACAGATGTTTCCAGAAGGTGGTGTGGGCAAGGCAGGCAGGTCCAAACATGCCTGATATGGAAGGCCCTCAAAGGTGCGTTCCCTTCCCTATGTTAAAGGTACGGACAGCATGTCAGAAGAGCACAAGTGTGGTGGCTGCTTCTGCCTTGGGCCGAGGCCTGGGTGGGGGTGGGAATGGCACTGCCGGTGGAGCAAACAGCGCGGCAAAGGCACTGTGGTATAAAGCACCAGACTGGGACCACGGGTGGTGCTTTCAGCATGGCCAGCGGCGGGGTGGGGGGTGGTTTCCAGAGGCAGATGCCTGGACTTTATCCTATGGGGACTGGCAGATGGATGTAGCTCGTCCCCTAGAGAAGACCCTGCAGGCCAGCATGCAGGAATTAGAAGGGGGCAAGAGGGAGGTGGGGAGAGAAACAGGGTTAGAACTGATGAAGACCTCTGAGCCAGATCAAGAGCAGGAATGGAGGGAAGGACGGGGGAGAGACTGGGAGACAGAGCCAGAAGCCTGGGATGTGGGGGGTGGAGAGTGATGGAGGAGGGGGGGCTCCCACATTTCTGACTTGGGATCTGGGGGATGGTGTGACCATTCCCGGAGGTGGGAAGCACAGGTCGAGGAGTGGGCTGGAGAGCTGAGGCATATTCTGTGAGGTTTTGTGTCCCCTCAGGGGCAGCCTGGGGAGGTGCAGGGGGCCATGTGGACAGACCCTGGAGACCGTCCTGGGAGTTGCCAGTTTACAGCTGGGGGACAGGGATTAATAGTGCCTAGAGGACTGGGAGACCATCATAAGGGTTAAGCTGCCCCGACGGGGATGAAAGAGGCAGCTACCTGGGAGGGGAGAGAGCCAGGAGTGGGACACACGGCCCAGCTGGGTGGGACACTGGCAGGCGTGGGAGCTACGGGCACCATGGCAGAGGGCCAGCCCCTACCACCCTCAATCACCGGTCCTTCCTAAGAAAAGCCCTAGGC